TCTGACAACTCCTAAATTAATCCCTGCAGCTAGATCACAGCCCCGCTTTATGACTGTTTGTGTGTGTGAGAGGGAAAGGTAGAGACAGAAGTAATAGCTTGGTGTTATAAACAGACTCGAGTCGATAAGTGATCTAGGTCCTGCTGGGTGGCGAATGAGAGAATGATATTCAATTCAGACCCCAAAATAAGTAAAAAAAAAAAAAAAAAACTCCTGCAGGTTTACTGCTGCATGAGGGAATAAAAGGATGACACTATTATTTTACTTTTCCTATAAAGCTAATAGCCGCAGAGGTGAGATATAGTTAAAAGGCAAATATGAGGCAGACTTCAATGAAAGGGTACCTTTCCCTCTAACACAATTTTTTAAAGCATTTCCTCATTTAGGACTTCACATCCAGATTGTGAATGTTGTTTATAGGTGGGGATTCAGCAATGTTGAGCAACTTCCATTCCATCTCAAAGCTTTAAATATTAACAAAAATCCTTGAATCTGAGGTAATTTTGCAGTTAAAACAGTTTTTATCTCAAAGTCAAAGTAAACTTTACTGTCATCTGCTATACAGTACAGTATATAGAGAGACGAGACGACGAAGCTCCAGTTCCCTTCAGTGTAAAAGAACAACAATAAATATAGTAAGAGTAAGAATAAGAATAAATATAAAGACTGGGGTAAGGGGAGTATATACACTTTGAGGTAAAGGGGTCCATAACATTCTAAAATTTACAATTTACAATCATGATTTAAAGTGGCTTTGAAGTGGTTTAGATGACCAACATAGCAGCTTTACAGTTTACAGTACGAGTATGAGTATCTGGTAGTAGTCTGGTATTATCATAATTAATTTTTGGTTTCAGGATAGGGCACATACCATTACTGCTGCTAGAGCTGTGACAAATGATCTCATAGGTGTCCTGGACAGTACATTGTGTTGCCTTATTTGTGGATAATGAAGTGTTGATTAAAAAACTTAATAATGCTGGTTTTGGTCCTAAGGCTGTGAAGAAATTCGGAAATCTTATAAATCGAAATCAGTCTGTATATGCAGAGTGCGATAAATCTGGTGTCCCACAGGGTTCATTTAAACAAATGATGTGGGCAAATAAAATTTCAGCAAAAATACATCTTTATGCTGATGATATTATCATATTCACACATGCGCTCTCTGTAGGGAATGCAATACAAGAGCTTTAGAATCAATTTTATTCATTACGAATTGCTTTGCAGCATTTAAAATAAGCTTTATTTAAAAACAAAATTGATGGTATTCACAAAAATTCACCCACAAATCTGACATCTGATGGTGAATCAAATAATTCTTGCCTTACCCTTTTTTCAAATAAAAATACTCGTGGAAGCTACTTTTCTACCTATGATGGTTATGGTGATTCACTGTTTGATATATGGATGTCTCTGCCTCAGCTTTACTGAGCCACACACCTCTATGTTTTATTATAAATGCAATCATCACTGCATTCACCCCTGGATTCTGTGTGATTTGAGGGCTGGCCGTCACTATTTGCAGAAAACAGCACTGGTATATTTTTCTCTGATTCTAGGTAAACTTCCTTTTAATCTGGGTACTCTGCACTGCCATCTAATTCCAGCAGCATACCACCTATGCTCCTCTAAATGGTTGCTCTGACGTAACTAAAGTTCTGACAGATCTGTGGAAAACAGTGTTTACTTACTATGTACCTTGGACATAAAATAATTTCCAGAAAGCAATAAATTAACATGCCTGTATCTGTTGGTGAACGTTTCATAAGGAATGCAGTGAATGAAACCTGTAGATGTTTTTCTTGTGAGAACATTCATATTTTATGTTATTGGCATTTTTTTGTATTGTATATTATGTTGTACTCCCTGCATTTTATGTTGTTTATGTGTGTCATTTTTTAAATGTTTTGAGTTTGTACAGCATCTACCTTGGCCAAGTCTTTCCTTTGAAAGAAATTTGAATGCAACTTCCTGGTTAAATAAAGGTAATATTAACATAAACAACCGTGTGCATCTGAGATTTTTGGGTCTTTAGTGTATGTGGGAGACTCAAGAATAACTTGCACTACCCATATTTGTCCTAATTAAAGACAGCTCTTAAACCTAAAATCTCACCCTTTTTAAACCGCAGTTGGACAAAAACCTCTATAGGAAATGCGGAATATGCTATATTGGGTTTGGACTACATGAGCAATACTTGTAATATCAGATATATGATCGGTTTTGGCCATCCATAGGATGTGTGCTATAAGGTGACAGAGGGAAAGAAGAAGGATGCAAGACTTATGTTCCAGTGGCCACTTTTCAGTCTGCAGAAACTCTTATTGGCTGACAGCCCTGACTTGCAGAGCTTACCTTGTGTGTCCACATGCACAGCTGTGTGCAGCTGCTGAATGGACCACTCATGCAATATTTTCTGTTAGTGTGAGTTTATTTAAAGCTGTGCCTTTACAAGTGCTGGTTGACAGCTAAGCAGAAGAAAGATCCAGGCATGCACTCAGAGCAGCTGCGTTTCTGAATGGATCCCGCCGCCATTGTTCTGCTGTCACTAACTCATCTCTCAGGCCCAGGAGACACACCACTGACATTTACCAGACCCACACCACTCCCCCTTCCCCACATATCCTTCCTCTCCTCTCTCATTCTCCCTTTCTCTCTTTCCTACCGCTTCCATTGAGTCCCTCACTCATTCTCTGCTTCTGTCATTCCATCTCTATCTATGGGATGATGTACGGGGATGGATCAGTGTGGACACGTATGTGTGTATGTGTGTGTGTGTGTGTGTGTGTGTGAGAGAGAGAGAGAGAGAGAGAGAGAGAGAGAGAGTCAGAGTAAGTGTTTGTGTTAATGAGTGGCCCTTTAAGGCTATTAAGCTAAGATTGGTATGCCCAGAATCCCTCATTACCCAGCAAGCAATGCCCCCTACATGGAATGGTAATTGGGAAGGAGAGAGAGAGAGGATGAGAGAGACAGGGAGAGAGGGCTGAGGTGGAGGTGGAAATAATAGGAGGATAAACAAGGGATAATTGGGCGGATTGAGACCAAGAGAAGCATTTGATCAGGCTGATTTGTGTCTGCAAAGAGAGAGATGATGTGAAGAGCAGAGAGGTTAAAGGTCACACACTCTAGTATGTACGCACACGTATGACACGCACATGCTTTACATGCATGAGTGGTGCTCTATAGACCCAGACTTGACATAAGCTTACAGATACATACATGCATACATGCACAAAGACATACTGTGACATGCATGAAAGATCAGGCTGCAAAAGCAACATTTTAAAAGGTTCATAGTCTCACAGAAGGTTCATACTATGAAACAAAATTTGAGTCAATATCAGTCTGACTTTGGGAGTTCTGATTTATTTAGAAAAATGTTTTTTACTCTGTCAGGCTGTGCGACCGTGGATGTCACTCAGACATCTCTGACAGTTGCTGCAGTCTAGTTACACTTTTAGTCAGTTTTACACAGTGTAACATCAGCATCACCCACAGGACACGGACATGAACAGCAAAGATTCACAGCATTACTGGTGAAATTCTTACCTGCTGTTGCTGCCAAAAATCTTAAACTCTGATGGATTTCACCTTGCTTTGTTTTTAACAAAACACTGAAGTATTAAATTCAAGTGACTTTCTCTTTTTGGTCTTTCCTTGTGTCTACATTTAGGTAATTTTATCAACCACACACTTGCTGATTTATTTTTAATAAAAATGTAAAATAATACTATCCATTTTGTTTTTCTAAAATAAACTTTAGATTTGCAGATACTTTTGATAAGTGTTTATGTATGGACATAAAATTTTGCTGTCACCCTTCTGCGTTAGGGGCACTTGGAATGATTTATAATGGCATTTATAATTCCCATCTGCTGCAGATCCTCCTGGTTTATTTTTTTTCTCTTCTTTTTCTTGTACGTCAGCGACTTGACATTAAATTTGGGACTTACCAGAATTGTTTCATCTGGCTCTTCTAATAAAGCCGAAGCTTTACAGATTTGTTGATAAAGTACAGCAAAGAAAAGTGTAAGATGCTCTGTATGATTCTATGATGAAACTAAATAAAAGTTCAAAAAAAGAGCAAACCGTGGATTTATGTCGCCATCAAGTGGCAGGACTGTGACTTTGTGCACTCACAGAGAAAACGGGACAGAGCCTCTTTTTCTTTTTCGGTGGGCCGAGGTACCCGACTGTAGGATCTGACTATAGTCAGCTGCGACATAAGATACCATCTGGTCGCCTCTCCAAGGGGAAGTATCAGGAAGATTACAGGTAGACCCAGGACTCAGATACGGAAAATGGATGTATGGATGCAAAAGTACTTGTTATGATAAATTAATGTAAGGTCACATATTTACTCAAAGTATGTCTACGATCATGCCCAGCTAAAAAGTCCCTGTGATTTTGAAATGCTCACTTATATGTAGCTACCTGGACTGACATGTAGTGACATTAAGCACCACATTTAGAAATGACGTATAATACACCCAGAGAGTGCATGTGAACATAGTGGACATGCAACCATTTTTTATGGAACAGAATCTGGACCTTTTAAAAATCGCATATATGCACAGATATAACAAACAGAGTGATATAGATTAAAAACAAGAGGAAAAACAGTGTAAAAGGAACAGCTTAAATTCGTGTCTTCAGTAAATAATTTTCGGAGAGAGGAGTGCAAACATGATTGGTAATTTTTAGGTTAGGTTAGATTAGATTACTTCCAAATTTTGGATGAATAAACACAATTTAACACATAGCTCGTCAGAACAATAGAAGCTCTGTGGTATATTTGGTGTCAGTGACTAAAATTCCGATTGCAGCCGAGGCAATAAAATCTTACTCTACAGGCTAATTATTTTACATTGCATCATCTTATACTCCAAACATGTGAAATACTGTGTCAGCTGTTGTGGAAACGATGTTCAATCTCCAATTGATCGATAGTGACAGCAGCACGTAGCGTCTGCTCATTGGACGTTACTGTGATTGACTGAGGAGACGAGAGGAGAGGGCGACTGGGCGATACCATTCATCCGGCCCAACACCGAAAAATAGCCTATGAAAAGATTAATGAGCTCTAGAAGCCATCAGGACTGCGGTTTCAAAGAGGATTATGGGCGTGTAGCTGAATTCGATGGTAAGATTACGAATCTGGGTAATTTAGAGCTGGATTAGCCTACTAATCAGACGCGGTGCCCCCTCGCATCCCTGCGAATAAACAGGATGAGGAGACGGTTTTGTGACGCTGCAAGGAAACCTGCGAAGATGCAGAAATTCAAACAGTGATGGACATCCAGTTTTCTTCCAGATCGGTTTAACCGTTTTTGTTTTTTGTATTTATTGTTTTACCAGCGTTCCCTTTTTTGTTGGTCATGATTTTTCTGCGGAGGCTTGTGCAGCTTTCGGTGCTGCTGATCCACGCTGGATGGTGGGGGGTCGCGCCGAGCCCCACCGATGAGGGAGCACTCCGGACTGGCCACGGAGAGCACGGAGAGCCTGGACACCAAGAGCCTCACAAGGACTCCTACAGCACCTTCGCCTCCGAGTTTCTGGAGTCCAGATATCTGTCCGATGATGGTGAGGATGTCGCTCAGTCCACTAAAGATGAGCAGCTAGTGGTTTTGTTTGCATGCTTTTTTCCACACACAAGCACACAGGGCCTAGCATGGGCAGGACAAAGGTTAATATGTGCCAGTGTTGTCTTGCATCCAACCTGTCACCTCAATATGAGGCCTTTCAGCACCCAGGCCAGCTCCCCGATGGTAGCTGCCCACCCCTTCCTTCTCCTCACCCACACACAGAGTGCAGATGGCCTCTCCTCAGTTGGCCTTCATCACTGAATACATGTATCAGCTGTTTAGTGTGTAATCAACAAAATTCATGTTATTTATTTACTTATTTGCTGTGTTTTGCAGGTTACCCATTCCCCACAGCACCCCCAGTCGACCCCTTTGCCAAGATCAAAGTCAGTGACTGTGGAGTAACAAAGGGCTGCATAAGGTTAGAGATCCACCTCTGTCTTTCTCAAAACAGAGCTCGAGTGTTACTGTAACCCCTGGGGGTCCTTCATCCCAGATGCTCCTGACGTCAGAGAGCCAGAGCTAAACATGGGAACGCTCAGCAAGCTAATCTTTCTTCTTTGTAACCTGGATTCAGTTTCTTTTAAAAAGTGTCCTCATTTGTTTAGATGAGCTCTGTCTGTCCAGCTGAGATCTTATCTCTAGTGAATGACTGTGAGCATTTGCATTTATTTATCTGCACTCAGGTATGGGAAGCCGGGGTGCGATGCAGAGACGTGTGACTACTTTCTGAGTTATCGTCGCATCGGGACAGATGTGGAGTTTGAGCTGAGCGCAGATACGGATGGCTGGGTGGCTGTAGGTTTCTCATCTGATAAGAAAATGGTGAGCAGCTCTGCAACACCTCTGACTGCTAAAAGTTACACAGGTCTTGTGTCTTATTTGGGACAGCAAACCATCTGTTTGTATCTTTTGGGCTGCATATAATTATGATTTTTTTGTTTTATCGCTTCAGGGTACAGAAAAATTAGCAGTCCCACGTCAAACGTGTCAAACATTAAATATGAAATTCAGTGACTCAGCAGGTCTCCACAATAAACTCTCTGTTTCAATTTTTTTAAAACTTAAAAAAACATATATTCATTTATTAGCCAGTTTGTTCAATAAAAACATTGTTTGGGTTAAAGTAAACCCTTTCAATTTAATCCATTGAGGCCAAGGATGTGCTGTTTTTTCCCCCAGGTCAAAACATTGACATCACAACAGTGCGACTGATATGTTGCAACCACAGTCCTGGAGCAACATTTATGGAACTTTTTGGGAAGACTAAAAGCATGATATTACATCACATGCAATATCATGCTGCATACATGCATCACAGTTGCTGCAGATTTCTCAGATGAACATCTGCGATTGAAATCTCCTATTCACCATATCCCAAAGGAGCTCCATTAGATTGAGATCTGGTGACTATGAAGGCCCTTTAAGTACAGTGAACTCGTTGTCATGTTCGAGAACCCAGTTTGACACAATTTCAGCTTTAAGACGTTGTGTTATCCTGCTGGAGGCAGCCATCAGAGGATAGGTACAGTGTGGCAATAAAGGGATGAATATGTTCAGCAACAATCTCAAGAATGGCTGCTCACTGGATATTTTCTTTTACAAGCAATTCTTTGGAAAACATAGAGATGTTTACATGGAAAAAATCCCAGCTGATCAGCAGTTTCTGAAATACTCAGATTCGTCTGTATGGCACCAGCAACCAAGTTCAAAGTCACTTAAATCACTTTTCTTCCCAATTTTGATGCTCATTTTGAACTTCAGAAGGTCATCTTAATATCTTAAATGTTTAAATGCTTAAATGCACTGAGCCATGTGTCTGGCTCATGGGTATGTTTTTATTTTTATTTTTTTTATTAATGAACTGGCCTGGAAGTGTATATTTTACCTTGACTGTATCATAATGGTCAGTTTTTCAAGAACTAAATTTATGCACATTTTGGAAATAACACTCTTTGTCTCCTTAGGGAGGAGACGATGTTATGGCCTGTGTGCACGATGATAACGGGCGCGTGCGGATACATCACTTCTACAACGTCGGCCAGTGGGCCAAGGAGATCAAGAGGAATCCGGCTCGAGACGAAGAGGGCATATTTGAGAACAACCGCGTCACCTGCCGTTTCAAGCGACCGTTATACGTCCCACGAGAGGAAACGCTTGTGGACTTACACCTCTCGTGGTACTACCTGTTTGCATGGGGGCCTGCTATTCAAGGTGAGCGATGAGTCTTTAGGTCAGATTACACTGCCCATTTTTTTAGCCCTTGCCCATGACATCTCCTTCATCTTACTCGTCCAACAGGTTCCATCACGAGGCACGACATTGACAGTCCTCCAGTCAGCGAGCACATGATCAGCATCTATAAGTACGTGGACATCTTCATGCCCTCCACAGCTTATCAGACATTTAATTCTCCCCTCTGCTTACTGCTCATAGTAGCTCTCACCTTCTACCTGCTGATGGGGACGCCATAACGAAGCACAGCACAGCACAGCAGAGAGAAGATGAAGCAGCAATAAAAAAAAGTTTAAATCTGATGCCACATACAAGTGCCCTCTTTGCACAGACTGTGTTAGATATATTGAACATGAAAGACTATATATTCATAACTCACACAGCATCTTGAAGTATTAAAGCAACACTCTAGAGGTGACGTGCTGATCTGAGTATTAGACAAGAGGGCAGAGTAGTAGTAGTAGTTTAAAATAGGCCAGTCATTTTCAGTGTTAACGATAGCTTCCAGTTATATAAAAAATATGAGGACTCCATTCCAACAAATACATCTCACATGACTTTGAAACCCTGCATGCACTGGAAAATCTGGGAATGGTTTCAGACACCCACCGTGCACTGGTGACTAATGTCGAACTTTGCCAAAACAACGAGTTTCTGAGGATGAAAGAAAAATAAAACAGCTCTCACAAATGCTTCCCGTCTCCTCACCCTGCTACATTTCTGTGGATCTCAGCCTTAAAAAAAGAAAATAAAAATGTTGTTTGCTGGTGTTAGAAATATGGAGTGCAGGGTTTCAGGAACAACCCAGTGCATCTACTATGTAAAAGATTTTCATAAGCTTTTTTTTTTTTTTTTTTTACATCCTTGTCTGATTTCATCATCTCACTTCCTCAACCACAGTAACTGCTTTGTTTATCAGTACTGTGACACTGTGACTCACAGCAAGACTGATGAGAAGAGTTACTACTATTGCCTGTTCAAGCAATAACACGGTTAACAGAAACATTTTGCTCTTATATGAACTAATGTTTTTTCTCCCCTGGGTTGCTATTGTAGCTTTTGAAGTGTATTAAAAATGGTTGAATATGTTAAGATGTCTCCCACTGAAACATCTGTCGCTGCTGTGCTTATTGCTAAGAACACAGTCTATACAAAATACAGACACTGCAGTGAATGCAGAGACTGCCTTCTCATTCTGGAAGTAAAAAGCCAAAGGGCATGACTTTAATAGAATGTAACATAATTAGATTTTGAGCAGTGGCTACGTGTAGTATGATGTGCAGCCTGATAAAATGTACAAATTACTCATACATTCACACTCGTGAGAGGCTGGGCAGAAGATAAAATACACAAGAAAGCACAGAAAATAACAAACCAACAAAAACACACACCACCTTTTACACATGCATTGTAACAAGCAGATGAAATGGGCAGTGGGAAAAATAAGGGGATTGTGGAAATTTTCATAAAAAAGTAAATGAATGTACAAATACAATGGTATTCATATAAAAACCATTGTATATTTATGCGTGGCTGTTTTTCTTACCAGTTAACCTAACATGCATGCCTACCATGGGAAGAAGCTGTAGGGCACAGGGAGATTATGCAGCTTTTGAACAGAAAGACCCCACACAGCCATGAGATTCAAACCCAGTGGAAGTGTAAGCTAGTGTGGTGTCAACTTGAAGTCAACTTACCGTACCATTTAAAAAACAAATGTTTAAAAAATGATCTCGGAATTTCAGAAAACCTGATCATCATGACTCTAATTGTCTTAAATACACTTTGTTTAACAATGTAATGTAATTATTTTTATTTATATATTTTAAATAGCTATGATGTGTATTGCTGCTTGAATTAAATACTTTATAACACCACCTTGTAACATTAATAAAACAATAATAAAAAATAAACCGGAAGAAAAGTGGTAAGTTAAAAAAAAACAAAACACAGGAAGCAACGCGCGGCATCACGGACACTTCATTGCCCATGAGGCCTTTGGGCATTCGATGTTGCTACGTCATTGTTTTCCTCCCTCACGCGGTGGATCAGTTGGACGGGCTGGCGGAGCTGAAACTGGGAACATGGCAGACGAGGAGGATTCGGCGCCGGATCCCGCCGCTGTCTCTCCCCCAGAGAGCCCTCACGCTGGGCGGCCTTGCTCTGTTTCTTTCTCGGAGAGCTTCCAGCCGGCTGTCGGGATGATGAGCCAACTGCTAACCCAGCCCTCCTCCCTGAAGTTTGACAAGAACATAAAGCAGGCCTTCTACAACACCGGGGCGATGATATTTGTGGCTATCTGCTGCGGGGCAGCTGTCCTGGTCTATTTCATCCTCGAGGCCTTCCTCCGCCCGCTGCTCTGGGCTGTGCTCTGCGGCACCTTCCTCCACCCCTTCAAATACTCCCTGGCTCGTCTCGGCCGCTCATGGCTCAGCGGCCTGCAGGACAGCGGGACGCCCATAGTGGTGGGGACGCTGCTGGTCCCGGTGTGGTGTCTCAACTATGGGGTGGAGGCGATGGGTAGGCTAGTTCTGGAGAAGCTCACAATACTCCTGGTTATCGGGGCGGGGGCACCGCTGGTTTACTTCCTCTACCTTTTCTGGAGTGTCATCGGTATGCAGGTGATCCTCGGGCACGTCTGTGGGGTCATCGGGAACGCGCTGGACTGTTTCCACTTTATGTGGGTGAGTGACAGTAGAGTGACAATCCTCTCTGACAGAATGACAAAGGGCCCCTCTGTCCGTCAGAGTGGGTGCTGTTAGGTCAGCTCTGTGTAAACTGTGGCACATATTTTAAATATTATCTGGGACAGAATGTTAAAAGTTATACTTTAAACGTCAATGATTTTATTACTCGCCTGATTGTGTGGGTCTTACTATAGTAAACTATTAATCTTACGATAACAAACTAATAGTCTTTTGGTCTTTTGATTGTTGGTTGGTTAAAAAAAAATCAAATATGAAAAGCTCACATCACGTTATTTGCACAGAAAATAATCTACAGAGGGAGTAATAACAGTAATTGTGAATTTCATTCCTACTTAATCCCATTTTGTGTGTCTGATTAAAATGAACTCAGAATTAAAAATGTTGACTGTACAAATGTATAAATGTTATTATCATGTTGTCATCAACGCCATTTAGCAATAGGCAATAGTTGATAAAGAATAATTGGGGGATTAAAGTTGACTGGCTGCTGCAGTGTGTCTCTAATAAAGACTTATTCAATTAATCTAAACAGAAAATGTGTTTCTTGGAATATGTGTGCAAACTTTTATGTAAGTTGATCTAATTTCCTGCAGTTCCAGCATCTGATCGATCGGTACCTTACCCCCAAACAGCTCCAGGGGCCAGAACCCATCCGCCTCATCCAAATTGCATTAAATGTTCTTCTTTCTCTGAATGCGGAGTTCAGCTGACAGAGGGCCTGTGTTTATAAATAGGATGGAGGACACTATATTAAATTACATCAAGGCATGTCTTTGTGAGGAGCGACACAAGCTGAGATCTTCGTGAGCAGTCGATTAAACTTCTAGTGTAGTCTTAAGTGCTCACTGCTAAACAGGAGCAGAGCGTTTGTGAAACTGGATGAGTTTAGGAAGAAAAAACATCAACACAAAGTGATTATCACAAAAACTGCTCAATTATACTTTTTAAGACTCATGAAGTTCAAAGGTTCATTATGATGCAATGTAAGAGAATAGAAGTCTCAGTATATTTAATTAAAATACCCTCTGTTTCATTATTGTGGATCTTTGTTTTATTTCGTCACAGGTGGGGACTGTCGTGGGTGGATACTTGCTGGCGGTTTGTTTTAAGTGGAGTCCTCAAACTGAGCGGTACCTGAGGACTCTGGCACTTCCTGTCTGGGCCGTCCTGCTCTTCTACATCGGTGAGTGTGGACAGCGCCCACAGCCAGCCATACAAGCTGCCTCTTTGGACTGCAGGAGATTTCTTCTAAATGTGGTCAATAAGTTGCTGCCTGTACAAATCCACTTGTCTTTGAAACAGAGGGCACACAGAGTTGCGCGGTAAGATGAGGATGTTAAAAGTATTTTTAGCACACTTAACACTTGCTCTGAGCTTCAGGCGTGAAGTTTTAAAAGTGACTGAAAGCTGGTTAAGAAGAAGTTCTGCCTTAAAAGGAGGTTTTTGGGCACATGTGAGAAAATGTTTTTTGCTTTGAAGTTTTTAAAAGTGCTTTAATAGCAACAGTCAACATTGTATGTCATATTTGTTTATGAATATGATTCAGATCATCAGGCAAGACTAGCAGAGTCATGCTTGACAAGGAATATACCTGTTAAGCCAGTAATGTCGTCCTGCAGTTTAACTACAACAGCTTTCTCTCAATCTAGTTAAATGTATCCATCTGTAACTCATCCAGCTTCTTCCACTTATCCAATTCCTCTATCTGTTTTAGTGTCTCTGACTGGCTCATGGAGAGTCCCCATATTTGTGGTTGTGGTTGGGCTTCTCATCGTGGGCTACCAAGAGAAACCACCTGTCCCTGGCACAGGTGAAAATATACTATCACACCTACACACTGACATACATTGACATTTACCACAATGAGATACCTTTTCTCACCATTAACTAGGTAATAAATATGGTCAAATGAGCACACGTCTATGATGTGCTTAGATTAAGTTGCATTTAGCCACATTTGCCTAAGCCTAGCTTTACGTGAAATATAAGTGACTTGAGGTGACTGGTTGGGCTACGCTCATCAGACCAGCTTTGATTTTTCCTACTGTGCATCCTCCGCTCTGCCTTGCCTGCCTTTGTGTTTCGTTATATTCAGTCTCTCTTGATCTCCCCAGGTGAGCTTTCAGGGCAGGTGCTGTCATTTGCTGCTAACACTATTTACATGGCAATCTCCTGTAGCAACCTTCAACCCAAAACCGAACTCAGTGGAAGCTCCTCCACAGGTAAGCTAGCTGTATTGTATTCAGTGTATTAAAGAAGATCATACAGATGTCCCAGATATCTGGGCTTTAAGGTTTATGAAATGAGAGAACTGGCAGATTGAATAGAGGGAATCAGACCTCTGAACATACTATTCGATAAATGTTCAGAGCATTGTTAATTGGTCAGAAAAATGTCAAGTTTTAAAACCCAAGATATGCAATGTCAGTTTTACATTCTTTATTTCTTTTTTTTACTGTAGCTGCTTTGACTTTACCAATTTAGCCACAGCGGTTGAAACTCAACTACTTTGTTCTTTCTTTCTCTTCCCATTCTGTGCTTTCTCTGTCTGCTTTCCCTCATCCACTCCTAGATGGTGTGCAGTCTGTGGGTCCCGTGCCTTCCACTCCTGGGTTTCCCGGGTTCGCTGGGAGCTCTCGTACATTGCCTGGCCTCTTCCAGAGAGAGAAAAGCTCCCACAGAGCCAGTGATATTTACTTTATTCTGCTGGTCTGGGCTATTGTCTTGGTGCAGGTCTGGCTCAACCTGTGGATACTACAACTGCTCCCTATTCCTGTGGCCGGTAACACACACACAGACATACGAACAGATATGTGCACACTTTCAGTTACTCCTCGTCAGTCGGATTTTACTCATGTGCATGTTGGCTCACTGATCTAGTGTGGGTTCTGAAGAAGCTGGTGGTCCGGTTTGGTATGAAGAGCTTTGCAGAGAGGACCCTTACCTCGTGGTGGACGGTGCTAGAGAAGTTTGGACGTGAGCGTGAAGAGGCACTGCTCCCTGGACCAATCAAAGGCCTGGCTCAGTTCCTCCTACGTATCGACACTAAGGTAATGTAGGAGCTGCCTGTGAAGCTGATGTCCTTATTTCCTCTGCCTTTGGCTTTATACTTCCTCATCGAGACACACTTTATCTGCAACTGTTTGATAACAAATTACTTATCAAAATATCTCAGGAAAACTGAAAGTCTCAAAATGGCCTGTTGTTGTCAGTCATATTACATATGTTAGTTTCATTTTTAATGTCTAAATTTAGCCAGTGTAAAGATCTGTCAGGTCCTAAATTTATTAAAATGAAATTGGTAAATTCATATTAAATTGCCAAAAACAGGGGCTTTTTAGTTTCCTTTACCTTTAACAGAAGATTTTAGCTGCTGTTTTTGTTTTTCAGCCTTTTAGTTCTGACCCAGTTGCAACAATCTCATCAGTGTCGTTTACGGCAACAGCTGGAAGCTATTTTTAGCAAAAAGCTGTATTAAAACAAGTGTGCGCTAAACTGCCCAGCACCAAATGGTAGACAGACAAAATTAGCACTTAGCTGAGGAACACTTTAAAATCAGTTCATTAAAAAACAGAGCTAAAAGGAGAGTGAATATTAGCCAGATGCCCGCATCATCAGGTGGGCAAAAAATACTCATGCATCAGTGATGTTGTTGCTCCATATCTGCTGGATGTGTAAGTATGCAGTTGTTTTGTTTCCAATCAAAATTTAGAGGCAAAATATCTCCAAATCTCTCAATATAGAATAAAAATCTCAAAAAACAAAGCAATGCAGAGCATAATTTTTTGCCGACATATTAGCAGCATATGAGCGACAGGATTAGTGCTACATGGTTTACATTTCTCAGGTTTTATATATAATGATGTCATTGCTGTAATCTTAGACACTTTTCTGCCTTGCCCTCACAGTTTTGGGATGTATTTGTGTTCCATCTTTGTAATCACATTGATTTGCATCCCACTTGTATTGCCAGTCCACACTCACTGTAGTTAGTGTATCCTGCCTGCCACT